TATGTATGTATGTATGTGTGTATATTATATATATATATATATATATATATATATATAGATCTCTATATATATATATATAGATGTGCGTTTATATATATATATATATAGTGCAATCAGTTGATCTGTTGATGTGTGAGGAATCTCGGGGCCCCAAGCTCCAAGGTCTTTATCGATGACCTGACCGAGGCACACCACCACAGCCGGGTCCGGAAGCGTTTGCGAGGCAGGCACGAGGCCCAGCCGAGCCTGCTTCTCCTGGGTGCTTGCCCAGAGGCTTCAATACCCCCTAATTAAGGAAAAAATCTTAAATCATATTAGGGATCCTACTATACTTTAAGGTATATTCCTTAACTAAGGGATATTGGAGCCTCTGGGTGACTAGTGTAAAAAGTGTCGGGATTGAGTTTAGAGTTTCGAGCTCAAGAGGGTGCAGGCAAGGCTCGCTCCCGTAGCCGAAGCCAAAAGATGCAACAAATCCTGAGCTGCCGTTCCTCTCATCTTGTGGGGCCCGGCATTCAGAAGCGGCCCCTTGCAACTGCGAATGCAATACGAGAGAGCTGGAAAACTGAGAAACCGCATCAGCCATGGAAATGACCGCCCACTGCCGCGCGGCACCCATTCTTCCCAAGGGGCCGGGATCCCCGGGGGGCGGATCGAGGCTCGTTTCAAAGGTGTCACCTGAGCTTCGAGCAGCCTTTTGCTCAGAACATGTGAGGCTTCGAACTCATGGTGGGAGACGGGGCAGGCCCTCTAACGGAGAACGTGAAAGGGAGTTGATGGCCTTGCTCAGTGCCGTACTGACCACACGAAGGTGGCACGGCAAGCGGCAAACAGGGCAAACATGATCTGCCTGCACTGGTTTGTTGCCAAGTTGCTCTCCCCCCAATCTTTGTCTGGTCGGTAGGCGCAAGAGAAGACCCATCGCAGTGCGCTGAGCATGCCGATGGAATCAGAAAGCAAAACGATTAGACCTGAGCCCTCAGCATTCAATCGTGGCCTGCCAATTCTCTACGATTAAACCCGAAACCCAAGCCCGAAGCCTGTACCGCCGAGAAGCGTCGTCTCGCTGGAAACTTTGTGGTGAGGGTTGGGATCTTTTTGGATCCCCTGCTGTGTATGATATCGACTGACGCATGCAACTGCTGCACGAGTTTGCCTTGCAGCTATGAAACAGAGCTCCGTGCTGCGGCGAGCAAACTGATCGGACCCTGTGCTCATGATTCGCTTAACTAATCGTAACTCAAGGCTCAAGACCCGTGCCGTGCGCCCGGAAGCCTCCGCTCGCGGAAGCATGTCCATGAGAAGCTTCAACCTGACACAAAGGACAGCTCAGGGCTCCCAAGATGCGGGGCCACGTCGCCTGGACTCCTCTGCAAGCGCTCGCTCCTCCGAGCGTCGCCGGGCCTGCGAGCATGTGAAAGGCTGGCGCCCTGGAGGCCATGCCGCACGGAGTGTACCAAGACGTGCTGCATGAACCTTCAAGGCTCGACTCCAACACCTTCAAGTCCAGTCAGTGAAAAGTTGGATTCACTGGATTCAGCAACAACTTGAAAACTTGCCTGCCCAATCCCCTTAGATGCTCGGAAGCAAGGCCTCCTCGGCGGCTGCCGCTCTGCGCTCTGCCTCAACGACCTCAGACCTGAGCAGGCCCAAAGAACAACTCGTCTTCTTCGCAGTCGCATACAGAGCAGCGTAGAGTCCCTGTAAAGCCTGCGCACATCCAAGAGAATCCAACAAAAAGGGCAAGAGGATGGAGTGATATAGTTGTGTAACCGTATATAGCAAGAAAGAGCACGAAGCCATTCTCACATCGGCGAGTGCAAGTAGCACTGCGTAAGGGTGCATGCCAAGTCTGCCGAAGCATACGATACCACATAGTTACACCTATGTACTGCAATCGCATGTCCCACCTATTCGCGGATTCAGACCGTAAATCATCCGAAGCAGAGTCCAGCAAGTACACGAACCTCACGATGTGGCATCTTCTGCTGAGTACATAAGGAAACAACTGCCGCTATCGAAGTGGCTCCTAGGGTTGAGACGCCTTGGAAGGCTGAGAGATTTGAGATTTCCCAGACACCGCACTGAACGCAGTTGTCTGATTTCAACTGAGTTCGGTGCTTCAGTGCTGCCAATTGCGGTGCCTGATGCCGGGAGAATAAGTGCTTCTCACATCGAAAGGTCTTGCAACTTCTTGCTCTGCAAGAAAGAAGCTTCCTTCATCAGGGACCTGAAAAAAGCGCACAAAAGAAACCTGAAGTGTAGGGTATGGCATAGGCCTTTCCTTCTGATCCTTAAGCAAAACCCCCATCAAAGGTGAACTTGCACTCTGATTTCTTGGATCCAGAGTCATAGCAGGTGCCTTGATGTCGAGAGCATGCGGCTTCCGGGACATATTTAGTCTTCTACTTCTAGTCATTGGTGCACTTGGGATCTCAGGCAGCTCTGAGACCCGTTTGCTCAACTGCGGCACGGCAGATGAGGCCACGGCCGCCGCCTCCTGCGCGCGAGCCTCCGCTGCAGCAGCCTGCCTCGCGTCTGCTTCTAGGGCTTTGCAGGGCTCCCTGTCGCAGCCAACCGAAAAAATTGTGGGGAACCGTTACAAAAGCAGGCAAACTTTGTCTGTCTGTCTGCCACAGTACCTGCTGCAGTTCTCCGAGGTGCAAAACTCATGCATGCAAGCTGCCCAGCATGCATGCACACCGAAACGTTAGCATTACTTGACGAGTTTCTGCAGCTGGCAGCCCTGCATCCCTGCATGCCCCAAAGATCCCCTCAGCAGAGGAGGAAAGAGCCTCTGAGCCTCTGCATTCGCTTCCAGCTCCAGGACGGGGCCTTACAGCTCCCGCTGCGAGAATCTGCGTTGAGCGTTGTTTCTTGCGGCGTTGTTCAGAGGTTTTCTAGGGGCTGGCCGGTATCTTCACACTACGCACAAGGGGCTTGAGGCGCATCGGCTTAGATGGGGTTCTCCTCAGCAAATCCCACGCAGAAACCGACAGAGTCCTGGCCCTTTTGCTTCATGGCTCAGCCTCGTGCCCTGGGCTTTCAGTTCATGGTCTGCCAACCTTTGCAGCGAAGCCTGGCAGCTGTAGAGTCTGTCGATGTCTGTCGGGTTCAGTTTCGGGCCTCATGCTATGGGGTCGAGGCACTGCTTCGGTTTCAGTGCATCGCCACGCAGCAACATCACCCAAAATGCGGCTTCAAGGTGCCTGTCACAGTTTTTTCCGCTTCAGCTAGCATGCCCCACCCACACTCTCCCACATTTTGACGAACACTGGAGTGCTCAAAGCCGCCATCGGATTCTGGCAGACAAAGGGGGGCCACTGGCTAGGCCTCGGAGTGGGATATGAACTACGACTAATTACGATCAGACTGCCATCCCTTCATGCACTCGCTGCCGAAGACATCTCCTTGATCCGGCCTCCTGGTCGTCTGCGTACTTCTCCTCAAGGTAGTTAGGTGGTACAGGCATTGTTTACTTATGTTTACTTCTTGCGGTAGGAAGGAAAACCGACAAAGCCAAGTATACCATTCTCTTAGCGATTCTGCCGGCATAAGCCCTCGCACCAGAGTTCCGTCATCATGCTGCCACAGGCAAACCCACATGCAGAAGTTGAACCCCTGCAAACTCGTGCGACGCAAATGCCGAGACATCAGCCGTCTTCGAACCTCCAAAACGACATGCACGCCCCTCTGCTAAAGCAAACGAAACATCAGGCAAGTCAAAGGAGTCCGTCCTTGGCCAGGCGCAGCTCTGCAGAACACCGCTGCTGCAGCGACCTCCGGCGGAGAAGGGATCTCTGCTTTGTCGACACGCGGAAGGTCTGCATAGCTCAAGTATGCCCTTCACAGGAGAACTTTGTCCTGTTGTCTGGGACGCTTCGCAGTACTGCCAAGTACTGCCAGCCGTTGCAACATAACATAGCCTGACCAGCACTCACCCAGTTCGGATTTTCAAACTTCGTTGCTCCTCTGCCTGGATGTTTTGTCGTCGCCACAGGAAAAGGGCACAGCCAGCACAGGCCAAGAAGGCCACGACGAGGAAAAGAACATGCAGGTGCCGTTGCATCCAGCCTGCTGTTGAGATCTTAACGACCAGAGTGGCCCTTGAACCCACAATGTCACGGGATATTCTACCGTTACGAACATCTGCCGCGTGCCCCTTCGCAGACGCGAGGTGTCCACCTGGGTGTATCAACGCGCATGAATGGTTCACCGATTGCTTTCGCCTCATCAGCTTCCTTTACAACAGCCTGCGCGAGCTGGCTCGGGGCTGAGCCAGCCTATCACGCCAGAGTTCTCGCGGCCGCCTCTCCAAGCGGACACTGCCTCTGCCTTCCAGCCATAGATTCCATAGATCTCTTCCAAACCTATCGAAGCAAGTCTCCTTCTTTCCCGGCCCCTCCGCCCGTGTTGCCAATGCTTCCATTTTTAGCCGAGCCTTAGCGTGTTACGGGGTTGGTGCCTCCGGTTGCCACGGAGTATGAAGTGTGGCTCCCCCCATGTCGGGGAGTCATAAACGACTTCTTTCCACGTCTTACGGCTCTCTAAGGGCAAACACGCAATGCGGAGCTGCAGCGGTCCAGACACTGGCACTTCCACATCGTCGTGATATGGGAAGCGCGTTTCCAAGTGGGGCAAGCTACTGTTTGATGCCATCTCCACAGTGACCCTGGCACACAGCATAAAGAAGACGATCGGGATCAACACCGAGGCCTGACACTAAAATGTTGGCTCCTTCCAACCACTGCAATCGAGATGAAATGCCCGCAGTTCCGGACTCGCGTGTCTTTCAGTGTTGGAATCGTCACAATGCACCATCTGCTTCACATGGGAGGCGATGCATCCCGTCTCCCACTCCCACTGCCCGCCGTCAACTGGAAACTTGTACCACCCTGCACCCTTCCGGTAGGAGCTTTCGCGTTCCAGCTCAACAGACACAGCGTCTGCAAAAGCCAAACACAACAGAACGGTGACGATCGTCACCGAGGTCATATCGTGACACCTCCGAACAAGAACTCGGCCGAATAATGGAAGCAAGTGCTGCGAGCAATTCAGGAAGCAACGGCAGGCCGGGACTCCAGGATGTCAGCATGCTTTTTCTCCATGGCATGGGATGGGGGAGCAGAGTGTGCTTCACAGCTTTTTGAGGGATCCCTGAGCCTGGACCCCAGGAAGGACCAAAAGTCCAGAGATGTCCTCACAGGGCTCCCGGCTGAAGATGACGTTGGGCATCCTCCTTGGCACCCTGCGCGGTGGCCAAAGCCTGGAAGTTTACAGGCTCCAATCCACGGAAACAACGAAACAAACGCACGAGGGCAAACCCCCTGGGCCTCCACGAGGCAGGTCTCCTTCTGCCTCGAAGCCTCCTCCGCCTACAGTAGCGGGCAGTAGCGCGAGTAGACTTCGCTTGGAAGATTTGTCGGCACCGGAGCAGCACACCCCACAGGGCCGCAAGATGCGCCACAAGCAGGCGAGCTCTAGGCTGGTTGTCTAGCCACTGGACTTGCAGATTTATGGCGACACTTGAATGGAAGTACCTGCACAGTGCACAAGACAAGAGCCATGCCTCGCTTTGGAGGCTTGCGATGCGCTGCTGCGACTCCTCCTCGACCTGACAGGATAGCAGTCCCAAGCCCGGAATGGCTTTGCCATTCGGAGGCCAAGGGCCGTCTGAGCACTCCTTCATTCAGCTCTAGATTTTCACTACGACAGGCACAGTTTGATTGGCTTCTTGCTTCCTATTTCAATCAGAGTCAGCTTGGACAACACCATGGGGCTGCAGCATCTGGTGGACCTTGCGTTTAATTCATCGCCCTGTCTGTGCGGACCTTCGACTGATTCAGGTGCTGTAGCTTTGATGGGCCATCTGAATCTGCACTTCGATGCCCAGTACCAGTTCACCCAAGGCCCTTCACCTTTGGCCCTGAGCTTGCAGAAACTCTTCTCAGATCCTATGTAGGCCCTGGGCCCTTAACACAACCGCTGCAGCGGCCCTGGAGTCCCGGACCTGCGCAATCTCACCGCGCAGGGACTCTACCGCAAGCTCCACCTCGGCACGCAAGAGTGGCATGTGACAATGTGGCTGTCGCACTCCGTTCCATTGGTCTTACGAGGATGAAGCTGGACAGGCAAAGGTTTGAAACATGCCGCGGGCAGGCAAACCCTCCAAAAGCCTGGAAATGAAAGGGACTCCTGTCGGCCTGGCCTCCTGCACCCGAGCTTCCGCAGCCTGCCGACTCGCCGTGGCCTTGACCGCCAGGTCTGGAGGTAGCAACGGCAGCAGAAGCAGCGTTGAA